ACTCCCTCCGGCGCTTACACCACCGACTACAAATCCAAGGTCCAAGTCAATCTTGGATTTCGCGTCCTTCAGCAACCCATTGTTCAGATTCCCAGGCTCCGACAGCCAGGCACAAATCTCCCAGCTGCTCTGCATTGGGGCCGGGAAGGGATCTTCGGGAGCCATCTTGTAAGTGGGACACACCACCACGCATCGAAGCCGTGATGCTAAACCTCTAGCAGGAGCCAGAACTATGGTTGGACTGCCCGTTATGAAGCCGCCGCCGTAGAAATAGACAACGAGAGGGAAATTCTGTGGCGAGGACGACTTGGGCCAGACGACCTTCGTCCGGCTCTTCCAGCCGTCCTTGAGTTCGATGTCTATCCATGCCTCGTCAAGGTCATCTGGACAGGGTCCCATTTCTTCGACTCCAGCAGCTTCCGCATCCACAAGCTGGGCGCGCATGACCTCAACAGATGGAATCGCAATTTGATCGGCCATGTTTGATGCATGTAATAGAGTCGGGATGTTACAGGGAAGATGATTGTGTTTGTATCATTCACGTTCTCTCAACCACGGAAAAATCTTGGAAATATATATCCATCATGGCTGCCTGGAACGGACATGTTAATGCTCCGGATACCGGGCATCAGCTTGCAAGCTTATCCTACCTGTAAATGAGTAGAAGATGGCTTCGCGTGGTGTTCTTAGACCAATCAATAATCAAGAAGTCCACTACATAACACGATTCATCATATCCCATTATCTTCGGTGACAATGGGCATCAGAAATCAGTTGTGTACGAAGCCGGCTTACGCACGCGATAACAAAAGTGAGTCCCATATCGCCCAGCGATAATGCCCCTATCTTTGTCATCTGTCAACAGCTGTTTCATCAATTTTACTTGATCTAAAAGGTACCTAGGTACATTAAAACAACTGTATTCTCGATAGCGTTTTCCTAATAATAATCGACTTATCAAACTTAATAAGCTATTATCGCATTCATTTTAACGAGGATGCGATATTATACGAGAAACCGCCTCGTTGTCAGCTTATTGTGCGTCGCGAGAAAGAGAGAATAGGTACCTCTATGGGGCGAGGACCCCTGTAACTCTTCTCGCGCTGTACGGAAACCTCAGCCACTAATACACTGACGGAACCCACCAAAAGCCGCCTCTAGCTGTAAGCTGGGGGTAGTGGAGGCCCATAAATCATAGGGCTTTGGGGCTGTAATAAGTCACGGGCCATTACATTGGAGATTCCCCGAAAATGAAGGACGAACATCATCTGAACAAAGTCGTAAAGGGTTATTTTCGTGATAACTTATAAAACCATGTAAACAGATATACTACATTATACTTTTTTTTTAATTAGGTATGAAAAATGAATTATGCAAATTTCGAATAATGTATTGTCGACTGACTTAACCGGAAGAGCATGCTCCTTCTTCAAAAATGCCTAGCACCAAAAATACCGCCCTATTCGAACAATCTGGCCAGAGCCTTTCAATGCGCAGCCAATGGTTCCCAGGGATCTACTAAGGAAGTCCAGTTAGTGCAGATGCCGATGCAACCCCCGTACAAGCGCCCTAGCTAGATTCCAATTCAGCCGAATGTCCCCTAATTGCCAAGGCTGCAACACTGAGACCCTACAATTCGCATTCTAGACAATCGGCCACAATTGTCGCAGACAGGGTCCTGCAAGGGCAGCTGTGAATATGTTTATCTAGGCTGGGTGGTATTTTCTTTCGCTTGTTCTTGATTATGAAGGAATTTTTACTCTAGCAGTAATCCAAGGTGAGGGAGCAAGAAAGAGAAAAGCAAAACAAGTCGAGTTCGCGTCGCTAACAGATGTCATTATTTGGGGATTGAAAAGTCCAATTCCCCGTACCAATGGCTCTTGCATCCGCACTGCCATCAATAGTCGATACGTGAATTAGGCCCCGCGAGCGAAGTCTCGCCCGGGCCGTTCTCGAATCGTTATGACGCCGTTCCTTAAGAGCTTCCCGCGGCGGCGGCGCTTTCTCATTGTCATCCCGGTGCTAGCGCTGCTAGTCTGGGCCTTGCTCCCCCCTTCCAGGTTGAATTCTCCAACTACATTATTGTATGCTATCAAGGGCTCACCAGGGACATCTAGCGACTACATACTGCGATACGTCGATCCCCTCATCGGAACGGTAAATGGCGGTAAGTACCAGGCCTCATTCGAGTCGGTTTCGTAGATTGAGAACTCATACTAAGACTATCACAGGTCATGTCTTTCCCGGGGCAACTTTGCCATATGGTATGTGATTCAGATTAAAATGCGCCTAGAACTTCTTAAGTGCTAATCAATTGCCCAGGCATGGCAAAAGCCGTGGCGGACGCGAACAACAACGGCGAAATAGCTGCCGGATTTGTCTCAGACGATTCGAAGATCCAGGGTTTCTCCCATTTACACGATTCAGGTACCTCGCAATCATAATCATTTGACCCAAACTACATGCTAATTTATCTGTCATAAGGCACCGGAGGAGTGAGTTGAGTAAACGTTTAATAGTCGCGCAAATCTAATTAGCAACAGAGCCCCTCGCTAGGGAATTTCCCTCTTTTCGTACATCCCGGATGTCCTAATGATGACTTCTCCAAGTGCGCATACACCAACATAGGGAGGGCCGTCGCGCGAGTGGAAGGCTCCGCAACAGCGCGGCCCGGTTACTTCGCCATCGGCCTCAACAACTCGGTTTATGCCGAGATGACGGCAACGGAGCATGCCACACTCTACAAGTTCAGCTTCTCCAAAGATGCAGAAGTAGAGTCTCGGAATGTCATGGTGCCTACTAACCCGCTAATCCTCGTCGACTTGATGGATCTAGGCGGTAGTCGGTCCGGAGGGGACATCCAGGTGAACCCCGAAACAGGTAGGATAGCGGGAAACGGGTCTTTTAACCCGTCCTTCGGGACCGGAGCGTATACAGCGCACTTCTGCGCGGATTTTAGCGGCGCCGAAATTCGAAATACGGGTGTTTTCTTGCACACCAACGTGACTGACGAGGCAAATGCTATGGGCCACCTCGGAAGCGACTTTTTTATCCCGTCTGGCTCAGCCGGTGCATGGATACATTTCGCGCGGCCGCCTAAGAATCAGATCATGGCCCGCGTTGGCCTCTCGTTCATATCCGTGGCGCAAGCCTGTCATAACGCAGAGACCGAAATCCCAGACTTTGGCTTCGACAGCGTAGTGAAGGCGAGCGAGAAAGCGTGGAAGGAGAAGTTATCCGTGGTTAAACCCGACTATTCGGGCATGAGCCAAGAGTTCTTGACGACATTTTGGTCGGGCTTCTACCGTGCACTGATCTCGCCTCAGGACTATACAGGAGAAAACCAGCTATGGAACTCAACTGAACCGTATTATGACTCATTCTACTGCATTTGGGATTCGTTCCGTGCACAACATCCTCTATTGACCATCGTCGATCCCACCGTACAGACTAAAATGGTAAGGTCACTGATCGACACGTACAAGCACGAAGGAAAATTGCCCGACTGCCGGATGAGTTTTAGTAAAGGTTACACGCAGGGTGGATCTAACGCGGATGTCGTTCTCGCAGACGCGTTCATTAAGAACCTTACAGACGGCATCGACTGGAACCTGGGATATGAAGCTGTCGTTTCTGACGCCGAGGAAGAGCCCAAGGACTGGTCCACGAGCGGCCGGGGCGGTCTCACTAGCTGGCATGACGTCGGGTATATACCATACGACGACGTGGACCGCAATGGCACAGGGCCCATGAGCCGAGGTATATCGCGCACAGTAGAGTACGCATATGACGACTTCGTGATCGCGCTCATGGCACGAGGTCTGGGGCGCAAGGGCGACGAGACGAAGTACTTACAGCGCAGTCGCAACTGGAAGAATCTCTTCAACCCGGAACAAGAGGACCGGTACCGCGACGAGGCCGGCACCGTGCTCAAGACGCAATTCAAGGGGTTCCTACAACCGCGCTTCCGGAACGGCACGTGGCGGTACCAGAACACGCGTCTCTGCAGCCCCGTCTACCAGCAGCACAGCTGCTACTTCGACACGCAGTACGAGACGTACGAGGGCAGTCCCTGGCTCTACACTTTCTACGTGCCGCAGGACATGGCATCGCTCATCAAAGCTCTCGGCGGCCGCGAGGCCTTCGTCGAGCGTCTCGACTACTTCCACTCCTCGGGCATCAACTACATGGGCAACGAGCCCAACTTCCTCCCCACCTTCCAATTCCACTACGGCGGACGCCCCGGCCGCAGCAACTACTGGGTGCACCAGTACATCCCGAGCCAGTTCAACAGCAGCATCAACGGGATCCCGGGCAACGACGACTGCGCCATGGGCGCCTTCACGGCCTTCGCGTTCATGGGCTTCTACCCCGTCGCCGGCCAGAACGTGTATCTGCTCACGGCGCCGCTGTTCCGCGAGGTCAGCATCCAGACGCCGAGCGGCAAGCCGGCGACGCTGCGCAATGTCGGCGGCTTCGACGCGCCGCGCTACCGCAACATTTATATCCAGAGCGCCAGGCTGAATGGGAAGCCGTATACGCGGAACTGGATTACGCATGATTTCTTCGTCGATGGCGGTACGTTGGAGTTTATACTAGGACCTGCGGAGAGTGATTGGGGGACGAGGGATGAGGATCTACCGCCTAGTTTGTCGACGGGGTTGCAGGACTAAGTGGAAGAATGCGCCATTTTCGTGAGAGAGAACCTACTAAGGCTCAGTTACATATGAAAGGTTGATTGAAACATTCTCTGAATGCTGAGAATTTGATTGTATATATCAAGGTGTGGTGGCTAGTTAAATAGGAAGGACATACATACAGAAACTCATTCTGCTAATAATCTTGCGCTAAAATCATCTGAATAGTGTCCATGAACCAACCTCATCAAGGAGCTCCTTGAATTATGAGGGTAGGTACTACGCTCTTTTTGATTACGATTCGATAAAAATAAAAAAGTGAGCGATGATTGGGAGTAGCTTTGGAATGCGTTGCAAAAAAAGCTCTCGATCGGGGAATCGAACCCCGGCCACCTGCGACTTGTCTTTGGTAGATGACAAGCAGGTATCCTGACCACTAGACCAATCGAGACTTATATGCTTTCACATGATTGGTTACATTGAGATACACAATGGGCTCTATATAGAATATTCATTAGCTGATAGTTCATAGGTAGTTGCGGGCTATCTCTTGATAGTGTTATCTCAACTAGTTCATTTCGGTGGAGCTAGATACAATCGTGCGTCTTTGATCAGAGAAAGCGAACCATCTGATAGAAAATAGTTACTCCTGTAAGAAAGCAAGGGATGGTCCCGCTAAGCCGGTAACTGAAATTCGTGAAATGCAAAGCGAAAGAGTTCTGAAATTTAGGCGCCTAACAAATAGATCATTATACCCATGTATTTGCAGTAGCTTTACGTGGTGGGGAAGCGGGTGATGGGCAAGTATCATAGACAAACGACGCCTAGCATATACAGTTCCCCATCAAAGGTGAATTAGTTCCCCTAATATAGCAAAATGTCACCCATGTCCACCCATGTCCACCCATATCATTCCTAGTAAGTGTTCTGGCTCCTCCGGTGGACACATTCCCTTAGCCTAGTATATACTACGATACTCTTACATACCCATCCAAGACCCAGACCAAAGGGCCTAAGTTTAGCCGCGGAAAGGGCTTGCGCTCTCCACCCACTCAGCCTTAGCGATAACAGTCTACAAGTCGTCGCTTTCATCATCATCACCCTCCGCCTCCTCCTCCTCCTCTTCCCCGCCCTCAGCCTCGTCAGAATCGCTATCGAGATTAGGATCGGGCCTGACGACACTATTGAGGAACGTGACCTATAGTTACGCCAAAGTAAGCTAACGCAATGTACCTACCAAGTTGGGGGAGATAAGCACTACTCACAAATTCAACCATAGCCGAGATGACGCTCATAACTCTATCCTGCGCATCCTCAGCGAGCAGGTCCTTGTCGTCAAGCTTCTTACCAATAGTGTAGTTGCGCAACTTCAAAAGCTCGATGTCCTTGTGCTCCGGGTGAAAGCCCTAGGTTAGGTTACTTTAATCAGCATACTCCATCCACGCTTAATGCGGGTAACTTAGGTAGGTACATGTAATAACTAAGAGATGTAAAGAAGGAGTAAGTAAGTAAGTAGGTAGGTAGGTAGGTAGGTAGGTACCTTCGGCTTCGTCTTAAGCGCATTCTCCTTATTCGCCGCCGCGAAGGCCGATAGCACGGACTTCTCGTTGGCCTTAGCGTTTGGCAGGAACGTCTTCCGGAACCTCGGGTTCATCAGGACGCGGCGGATGCGGTGGGGCCTCTCGTCGATGCTCGCGCGCAGCCGAGCCAGGGCTTCGTTGTCCGGATGCCACAGGCCGCCGCCCACCATACACCGGCCGGGCTCGACGTGGACGTAGTAGCATGCGTAAGGACCCTTCCTGCCCGTTCGTGACCAAGCAGCTGAGTAGTGGGGCTATTGATTACGTCCCTCCAGTTAGAACGGATAGTTCCCGTTTTCCAACGACTATAGGGGATGGGAATGGGAGACAGAAGGGGAGATCTACCTTATACGGAGTCGGATCTTTGCTGAACCGGATATCGCGGTAGATCCGGAAGACGACGTCCTTGATAGGAAGCTCTGGAATCGTGTCATCGGCATCGATAATCTTGGGCGTGAGTGTCTCGACGAACGACTCCCAGTCCTTGAGCGACCTCCTATATTCTCCGTCGTTCGCTACAATATTTCTGTGTTAGAATCTACTAGAGAATTGGTGGCTTGCTAATTTTAGCAGAGGGGAAGGAGCCGTGGGTATCAACGCACTTTTAAGCCAACTCCTTTTGTTGTTAGCCCTGAGATCCTTCAGGAAAAGCAGCGTGTTTTTATGAAGCCGGGTATCCTCGTAGTCGACGCCATCAGTGTCCCGCAATTGAACCGCTGCGACACATTGCATTAGTCCTATACTATCAACCTGCCCCCAATCGCGAAATGAGCAAGCCCATACACGGCATGTACTTACCAGGAATAAAGGTGATGCGATTATCGTCATCATCGTCGTCGTCGTCATCATCATCCTCATCCTCTTCAGACTCAGCTTTCGCCTTTGCTTTCGCTTTAGCCATAGGCTTGGCTTTCGGCGTATCAGAAGCCCGGGATTTCGCACTGCTCTTCTTAACCGGCGTAACCTTAGCCTGAGCTTTCGCCGGCCTCCCACGACCGCGTTTCTTCACCACCGGCGGCGTCTTTTCGCTTTCAAACCCATCCTCCTCCTCATCATCATCGAATTCTTCCTTATCCTCTTCAAAGCCATCATCCGCATCGCCCCCGGACCAATTATCTTCTTCCTCTTCGTACTGCAATTCGTCCTCCGACTCCTCTACTTTACTCTTCCTCGCCTTAGCCTGCGTCTTCGCCGTCTTACGAGGCGGCGCTCCCTTATCTAATTCGTCATCGTCGACATCGTCGTCGTTGTCCTCGAAGTACGTACTCTTCTTGCCGCCCAGGCTAATCCGGTTGGATCTCCTTCGCGAGCTCCCGCCAGTAGCCGGGCTAGAAACGGCCTCGGCTGCGGTGCGTTTTCTCGGAGGCATGGTTAGAGTTTCTCGGATTCGAAATTGGTTTCTTTAAGTTTCTAATAGGCACATAGACGAAGACATTGGGCTGAGACGATTGATGACGCGTTGAGGCAGATCGCGGGGTGGCGAAGGTGCACACGTTGTCACGTGACTATTGGATTTCTAATCTCAATCAAAGTGTTACCTAAAATAGCTTCACTTGGCGTCTCTATTTTCTTATTCTCTTAATATCCCCGATTTCTATGGAGCATTTGTACTGGTAATCATGAATATTGGATCAGATAGATTCATAAGAGCTTGGTTACCTAAGATATATGAAATATGTCACATAAATGGCCCTGAAGATAAGTGCAATTATCTTGGCTTTTTGACTAGATAGTATTCTATCGATCTCGATCTCGACCCCTTGAATTGAGATAGCAGGGGATAGATGCATTTGGTATCTGGGGATATATTGATGCACTGCATCTAGCTGCCACCACTATATTTCCGTGCCATAGCGCAACAATTCTGCAACACTTCATCCCCATCAAATTCCCGCTAATATATTAACTTCCTAGGGTGTTAATAGCCGGGGCTTCTTGTTCCTTCCGTAAACACCACTACAATAGGCCCTTGTTTAAGGTCCTATAATATGCCTATGGCAATCCGTATCCATTCCAGTACTTTGGGTGGTTCTGTGACAGCTGGTGCTGTTATCGATTTGGTTTCAGAACTCTCAAACGCTTCTTTCAATAAGCGATGCGACTATTTTCGGAGCGATGGAGCCTTCCGAAGAACAGCTAAGTAAGGAAAGCCGTTAGCAATTAGCTCCGTATCAGTACCTGGCAGGAAGGGTATGGCAATGCTTGGATATGCCTAATTGTCTAATGCCTTCACAATAGGATTCGTAGTGGCTGAATCAACCAAGTCCTGAACTGGATGCCATACGGCCCAATGGCGTTCTATCCCTTGGTTTCTCTAGCAGATCCGCATATCCTTCCAACCCAGCACCAATGACTTTAACAATATCAAATATATGCGAGCCTTTGAAAGTCTCAGCCCAAAGTCGGATTACGGCAATGGCGAGCTGACGCAGTTTTGTACCATCATTCGCAGCTATGTCCATACTCGTCGGCCCATGTCCTGGACCTCCTCCTGATAGTGAAGGATCAATTGGCACCGCGAATTCTGTTTCGTCAAGCATATGGCGCAACATCTCGAGAAGATTGCGTTCGTCGGGTTCAGGAGAAGCGCCCGTTGGACCGATCGAAGCGAGAGTCATGAGCCATTTTGAAAGGAGAATGGCGCATTCTACATTGCATACTGCACTAAAGTTAGATCATAATTCTGCTTCCACATGTCTCTATGTTAGCAATCCGTGACTACTTACACGAGTGTTGCATGCTCCATTCGGACGATTTCCTCCTCGCTACGTAGTTGACGCCAACTTTGACCAACATTGATAACGCATGTATAGCTTGAAAGACGGCTCGATTAAGCCGCCCACTGCGGACTAGATACGGCGCATCGTGGAATGCCTGGGCAATCTGACTGGCATCTCTTGTTTCGAGAGTCCTACTTGGGCTCAAATCGGTGTATAGTCGAATGGAAGCCAACCGCCAAAGCGCGGTCGAATTATAAGCAACTGGGCCTCCAGGAAATACATCCGAACCGTTTTGATGAGTATTTTCTGTCACGCGTGCCTGATGCTGTTCGAAACTCATCTGCCAGATTCGTAGAGCCTGGAAGCAATCTTCGACATCATCCTGACGTAGTCCGCCAAAGAGAGAGACAGAATTGAACGATGTCTGCTTTAGAAGGAAAATATGTTGTAATATGGCATGGATGAGGATGTAATTACCGAGAGACGACATATATGCCGGAGGACCTTGTGGCGGTCGACTAAAGAGCCTCGAAAAAGCATCTTGAAGAGATATATCCATACTTGGAAAAGATTGCCGAGCATCCTGCCACTGCCAAGCTGTTTCTGCCCTCCAGAGTTTCGAGGAATGCGGAAGAATCAGGCTGAGTTCCGAGGTGAGTAGCAGAGGCGGCATATTGTAGGCAATACTGCACAGGTTAAAGAAACAGTACGTGACGAGTTTTGTGCGGTTAGCCCCTTCTATTCGCACCCATGCTTCCCAGTCGGCCGTTTGTGTCGATTCCGATAAAAATCCTTCTTCGCGGACTAAAAGAGCTAGAAGGCTCTGAAGAGATAAGGCTTCGCGAAGAATGGCTTTCGCACCCCAGAGACCAACGGCGAAAAGTAAAAGGAGAGCCTGGATGGTTTCCATGCGAGATTGGGGCGTATTAGGCGAGCTTGAGAAGAACGTTAGTAACCTATTAAGAAGAGACAAAAATAATTCGTATAACATGGTTTCCTTACTATGGCTCTCGGTGCGTATCCTGGGTCATTGGGCGCTCTTGTTGGACGGAACTAAAAGAATGGCGAAACCCATGACTCGGGGACGGTCGTGTAGAGTGTGGACTGTATGCTGCTGGCGTTGGTAATAAACCATGCACTTCGTGACTATG